CCGCCTTTCCAATGAAAAAATAATAAAAATAAATCTTTAAAAAAAAAAATTTCTTTCTTGAAAGTTAGGGATTAGGAAAGCTGATAAACTGACTTCTTAGTTGTATGGAGGCACACAGGAGGTCATGTAGGGTCATGTAGAGTGGGGGGTTGGGCTGGCCATTACTGAGCAATCCCATGTGGCATAAGAGAGGAAAGCAGATGCAGAGAAAGGAAAGGCAGAGGAGAGAAAGGAGGTGAGAGAGGAGCAGAGAATATTCCTGAAATGAGAGGTTTTGGTTCCAGAAAAGATTCCCATTTGTTCCTGTGGTATTTAATTTCTTTTTTTTTTTTTTAATTTTAACTTATGTGACTCTTTTGTTTCCTAACCATCACACACACCACCAACACCACTACTTCCAGGGACTTTCCCTTCAAGCCACCACCCCCTTCACTAAGTGAACTTGTCTGGCTCTCTGCTTCTTTAACCAGAGATGGAAGCCAGATCGAAGCATCTCTCACACTCTGTCTGGGTTTCCTCTAAGCCAGCAAACCATGAGAAACAAATGGCTGAAAGAGAGGAAAAGAAATAACAGGGGGTGGAACGGTGGGGACAGTAACAAGCTACATGTAAGAGAAATGTCCAAAATTCAACTAAATCTTATTAAATTTATAACTTATAAACTGAATTCTAAACTAAAAATATATGCCTTAGGAAAGGAGAATGAAAAATGACATGATAGTCAAATGAAAATAGAAATAGGAAGAATAGAAAGTAAAAGAAAAAAGGAAGAAAAAGTAAAGAGTAGAATTCTGCTTTTTGGGAGCGAAACTGCCAAAAAGGGAATGCCTACCGGGTGTGCAATGTTTTATAGGTATGATACCTTGCTGGATTCTCACAAGTCACACAGGTGGGAATGCTTCTGTTTAGCAAGAACAGGAACAATACTTCAAAATAGTTGGCTTTTTATTTATTTATTTTTTCTGTTGTTTTTCCTGTCTGAATTGGACAGCCAAAAGGAGCACATCTCTTGTCAGGCTGGCTTCAGAGCTGATACTCTGAAACAAAAATGCGTCTGTGTGGACAGTCTGCTATGAAGCAGTGATCAGAAGAGGCACGCCAACACGACCTGAAGGGTTCCCACAGGCTTTTCCACCTGAGAGTCTCCACACCAAGAAGTTGAGGATTCTATTCTATTAACTCAATTGTTGGAACTTTCTATGCAGCTGGATGATTTGCAAAACAAATCCTGGCCCAAGACCTGATTACCAAGAGAGACAGCTGTGGGGTGGGACTTGGTTTTAGCCTCATCTGAGGTCAGTGTATTGCAAACAAGATCAGGCATAAAGGGTGCTTCTCATAAAAAGCCTTGGTGATATTTACCAAAGGAAGGAATTATGAGAAAAAGAAGGGGGACATGGGGTTGCTTCCTGGACTTGCACTGGGGCATATACCAATAGGAGTGTCCTTGCTTTCCAGACATTTATGGGAGAACCTTCCCTACCACAATCAGAAAAAAATCAATTACAGAGTTTGAAACAAATCCTGTGACCTTATTTTAGCTAGGTTAAGAGGCTTTGGAAATTCAAAGCAGTTTTTAAGCCTCTGCCCAAAAAAGATGCCATCGTATGAGATAGTCCCATTCAACATTTCAGAGCAGAAAGGTGGGAGGTGTGTTAGGACAGATTATATATCGCAAATTCATATCAAATCTAAGGCAAATCTAAGACATGGAAATCCTGGGTCCCGGGTGAATGCTTTACCATGCAACACACTTGATCTCTGGTGAGCTCTTTCTCACTCATCAAGTTCTTGTTGAATAGCTGAACCATGACAGAACTCTTCCTAAGTGCTAAGACACAGTCTAAGCTCCTGCAGGCAATATTGTGTGCAGCCATCTTTCATCACAGAACTGGAAAATACTAGATCTAAATTCTCCAGTGTAGGATTGGGGTAATATAACTGTTTTCATGCGAGTATATTCAGTGCTATGTGAACACACAAGATGAAGCCTCTTTTGACATGGAAAAGTCAAAGCCATGACTCATAGGAAGGTTACAATGAAAGGACGTTTAATAGCGAGAAGAAAAACAGATTCCATGTAATGGAAAGTCAATGCTTAACCTTTGAAAAAATAAACAGAAGGTGGTTGAAAAGTAGCAAATAACATTTTATCTGAATTGCTGGGTTAAGGTTACCAAGAGTCAAATCAGGAAAGAATTTGAGTGGTAATGTATATTTGGGGGTGGGGGAATAGGAGTGGTTGCAGCACTATGGGTTAAGCCACTGCCAGCAACACCAGCATCCTGTATGAGCACTGGATGGAGTCATGACTGTTCCACCTCCTATTCAGCTCCCTGATAATGTGCTTGGGAAAGCAGCGGAAAATGGCCAAAATGTTTGGGAGACGACCCAGATGGAGTTCCAGGCTCCTGGTTTCGGCCTGGCCCAGTTCTAACTATTGTGACCACTTGGGGAGTGAGCCAATGAAGAGAAGAGCTCTCTCTCTCTGACTCTGCCTTTCAAATAGATAAGTAAATAAACCTTCTTTAAAAAGTAATGCTATCATCACTGAAGCTCTAGAGACACACTTTATACAGGGTAATGATGTGATTATATCTTAGCTTTAGAAAACAGGAATCAAAGTAAACATGGGAAATTAAAGATAAACATTTATATATAATCTCTTAAGAAACCTGAAAATGATGGTGATAGAATTAAAAAGAAGTAAACTCTGAAAGATCAAAGAAGGCTGCAAAGGAAACATCGACAAAGATTAAAAATGGTATTTTGGAAGATGGAGAGCCAACATACACGCACGCACACACACACACACACACACACACACACACACACACACACACAGTAGGTGACTGAGTTGAATGAAGAAAACTACTGAAAGATAAAAGCTTAACCAAACCTAAGAAGATGAGACCAGGAAGAAGCAAGACCAGTTGTTCTAAAGAATTTGGATTCCTATACCTACAAAAATGTATTGTGCAAAAATAATAAAAATAATTTATAAAAAGAACTTGGGAAAGGTCTAGAATTGGTGGTTCTTTGCGGTTAGGAAGGGTAAGTAGAGCCCAAACAGAATCTGTGGAAAATCTGCCTAGGTTCCAGAGTCTTCCCTGCTCCTGAGATGGCAGCATTTCCCCTCTGCCTGAGAGAAGGCAGGATGTTAGCTCTCTGGATGTGCTGAACCAACAGGAGTCTGAACTCCAGGACACAAAAAGAACGAATCCACAAGACGAAGTGAAAGGCCTCACACTGAAGGTAGAGACTTGCAAATCTTGCCATGGCCCCATTTATCTCTGACATTCACGCTTATGCTTTCCATGACGAGAGTGGCAAATTCTCTGGAGAAAGACGACACATGCTAAACCAAAAGAAAACACACATTAACATTGACATGGCAGGTCCCTTCTCATCACTATGTTAGGGAGCTCAACCACAACTTCCAATCAACCTTTCATTTCCTGACAGCTCAACACAAACAGGCAACCACATGATCTTCAAAAATATGAGAAAATTCTCTGATGTGAAGGACAGTTTCAAAAACAAGAGCAACTATGAATAAATGCGGGAAAATAAACCATGGAGGAGAGAGGCAATTCAAGAGAGAAGAACCACCAAACACTTTTCTTGAGAGTTACTGAATCCTCGGTACAACAGGATGCTGTCAGAAGGAAACAATACATAAATAAGACCGATCCTTTGAAAATTATAATATGGAAGAATAAATAGGTTTATATATAAATAGGATGATTGGGAGGTAAAGTTGAGACTAAGCTTCCAGAAAGCAGTACAAACAAGGCAGCAGGAGTGCCTGATGGCGTGGGAATGAAGGCATATGGAGAGCTGGGGCGCAGCTCTGTTCCTGACTCCAGCTTCCCAATCAATGCTCTGGGAGGCATCAGGTGACAGCTTGAGCAGTGGAGTTCCTGGCTCCCAGATTCCTCCTAGTCCTGCCCAGCTAATGAGGGCATTAGGGAGAGTGAGCCCGGTGGAGGAAAACCGCTTATCTCTCTTTCAAATAAATAAAAGTTTAAGATAAATAAGGAATAAAATAAATAAGAAACTTAAATACTTACAGCAAGGTGTATCATTATGAAATGTCAGAACAGTAGAGAAAAAGATAAAATTCTAGGGCCCTGTGCAGTGGCTTAGCAATTAAAGGCCTCACCTTGCACGTGCTAGGATCCCATATGGGCGCCGGTTCTAATCCCGGCAGCTCCACTTCCCATCTGGCTCCCCCATTGTGCTGGTGGCATGGGACAGCAGTCCAGGACCTTGGGGCCCTGCACCCACGTGGGAGACCTGGAGGAAGTTCTTGGCTCCTGGCTTTGGATCAGCGCAGTCACTTGGGGGAGTGAATCATTGGACGGAAGATTTTCCTCTCTGTCTCTCCTCCTCTCTGTATATATGCCTTTCCACTAAAAATAAAAATTAAATCTTTAAAAATTCTGTAAGTCTCTAAAAGTAAAAATATTTCATACATAATGCTACTGGATTTTTCTTTTTTTCTTTTTTTAAAAAATACATTTATTTTTATTGGAAAGGCAGATCCACAGAGAGAAGACAGAAAGAAAAGTCTCCTATCTGCTGGTTTACTCCCCAGATGGCCACAGTAACCAGAGCTGAGCCAATCCGAAGCTAGGAGTCAGGAGCCTCTCCCTGGTTTCCCACATGGGTTTAGGGTCCCAGGGCTTTGGGCCATCCTCTATTATTTTTGCAGGCCACAAGTAGGGAGCTGGATGGGAAGCGTAGTAGTCAGGACATGAACCAGTGCCCATACGGAAGGCTGGCACTTGTGAGGTGAAAATTAGCAAACAGAGCAATTGTGCTGGGCCTGATATTAGATTTCTTAACAATGACAGTAGAAACTAAACAACAACAACAACACATAAAGTAAAATAATTATACTTTACTTTAACCTGGCCAAACTCCCATTTCAGCACGAAATTAGTATCAAGATACTGTTGGATATATGAAGTGCTGATATTCATGCTCACCAGTTCTTACTGCTTCTCCTCCCCCTCTTGGATACATAGAAGACAATTGCTTCCAAATTAGGCAGGGCCATTCGATCTGATCCAGTGGCTGTGAACGCAAGGGACACGTGCTATCGCCTGGACAAAGAGATGAAGAGATGGATGCAAACTCCATGTTTTCTGAAGAGACTTCATACTGACCTGGTAGAACACTAAAATTGAAGCAGTAGCAACCGTGGAGTCACGCCATGCGACCCAGCTTCCCTGGGAGCTTCCTGTCCTCCAGTTAGGTATAAGCCAGACAGACCCGTCCTATTAAACTATTAAGAAACGAGGCCTGGGGTAGGCACGTCGCATGGCAGTTAAGGTGCCATTTTGGATGCCCACACCCCATACTGAAAGTCCTGGTTTCAAGTCTCAGCTTTGCTTCCAAATCAGGCTTCTTGCTAATGCACATCCTGGGAGACCTCACATGCTGGCTCAAGTGCTGGGGTCTTTCCCACAAGACCTAAATGGAGTTCTCGATTCCTGACCTCAGCTTATACCGACCTGGGTGAGGCAGGCATTTAGGAAGTGAATCAGTAAATGCAAGATTTGTCTCTGCATTTCAGGAAATTAAAAATATAAGCAAGTAAATTTTAAAAAGTTAAAATTAAGAAAGCGAGTAGTTACTGTAGCATACTCTAACATAAGACAAGCTACCAAAAATGTTTTTGAAGATCTATCTATTTTTATTTGAAAGGCAGATTTACAGAGAGAGAAGGAGAGGCAGAGAGATCTTTCATCCTCTGGTTCAATCCTCAAATAGCTGCAATAGCCAGAGCTGAGCCTGTTGAAGCCAAGAGCCTGGAGCTTCTTTCAGATCTCCCACATGCGCAAGGTGTTCCAAGAACTTAAGATACCTTTTGCTGCTTTCCCAGACATATTATAGGAGGGAGCTGATTCAAAAGTCTAGCAGCCAATACTCAAACTGGCACCCATATGGGATGATGACACTGCAGACAGAGGCTTAATCTACATACCACGGTGCTGGGAACAGCTGTCAAAAGCTTTCTAACCATTCTGTTTCCCAAAAACTTAGTGTCTACTTTTCATCCAACAATTACATGCATAGGTAGTACATGACCCAAGAAATGAGTGCATGCGAGCAACAGAAGGTATAGGAATGTAACATCTATAATTATAAGACAAATATTATATATTCATACCACATTCCACAACAAAGAATAAACTACTGGAACACACAATAATGTGTTAATGATGATGAGAGAAAGAAACCCAGATTCTGGGCCTGGTACAGTAGACTAGTGGCTAAAATCCTGGCCTTGCATGTGCCAGGACCCCATATGAGCGCCAGTTCATGTCTCAGCTGCTCCATTGCTATTCCAGCTCTCTGCTTATGGCCTGGGAAAGCAATCGAGGACGGCCAAAAGACTTGGGATCCTGCACCTGCGGGGGAGACCAGGAAGAGGCTCCTGGCTCCTGGCTTCAATTAGGCTTGCCTCCGGCCATTGCAGCCACTTGGGGAGTGAATCAGTAGATGGAAGATCTTCCTCTTTGTTTCTTCCCTCTATATTTGATTTTCCAATAAAATAAATAAATCTTAAAAAAAAAAAAGCCCAGATTGCAAATGGTAAATATGAGTGATTGTCTTACAGAAAACTTAAGAACAGGCAAAATCAACTGATAGTGATAGAAATTAGAGGAATAAATGATTATTGGAGCAGCAAAAGGCAGTAATGGAAATTACTGACTGGGAAGGGGCCTGAGGGGTTCAGGCAGACTGCTGAAAATACTCACTATCTTGATCTACACAGTGCTTATGTGAATATAGATGTGTACGCAAATTCACTGGGCAGGGCACTTCAGTTCAGCACACTGTATGCTGTATCTTGATTTTTTTTAAGTAAAAACTATAAAATCTCTGGATCTAGGCAATAGAAAATCACGCAGAAGACAGAGATGAAATGAAACTACACGAACATGCTGGGTCCCAGAAGGAATCACAGCAAGTTGAAAGGTAGCCAGTGGTATGTGATCAAAGCTGAAGGCAGAGAGACTGAAGGAGAGAAGCATCGAGAAGAAAGAAAAAAAAAAGAGGAAGAAGAAAAACAACTGATAGATGATCTTGTGAAAAAAATGCTTGTTTCAGAATAGTTTTAAAATCTACAAAACAGGGTCTGCCACAATGGCTCAGTGGCTGATTCCTCACCTTGCAAGTGCCGGGATCCCATTGGGCACTGACTTGTGTCCCAGCAGCTCTGCTTCCCATCCAGCTCCCTGCTTGTGACCTGGGAAAGCAGTAGAGGACGGCCCAAAGCCGTGGGACCCTACACCTGTGTGGGAGACCCAGAAGAAGCTCCTGGCTCCTGGCTTCAGATTGGCTCAGCTTGTGTTACAGAGGTTACTTGGGGAGTGAACCAGTGGACAGAAGAACATTCTCTCTGTCTCTTTTCCTTTGTAAATCTGCCTATGCAATAAGAATAAACAAATCTTAAAATTTATAAAACCTAAATTGTGGAGTAGTACAGAGCCAAGAGTTTCCAAATACTCATATCCAGCTTCTTTTATTAACTTCTTATATTTCTATCCTATGTTTATCATAATCTAGAAACCACATAGAACTTCCTCTATGACATAATCCTAGTGTTCAAAACTGGGAGTGTTGGGCCCGGCGCAATAGCGTAGCGGCTAAAGTCCTCACCTTTAACGTGCCGGGATCCCATATGGGCGCCAGTTCTAATCCCGGCAGCCCTACTTCCCATCCAGCTCCCTGCCTGTGACCTGAGAAAGCAGTCGAGGACAGCCCAAAGACTTGGGACCCTGCACCTGTGTGGGAGACCCAGAAGAGGCTCCTGGTTTTAGATTGGCTCAGCTCCAGCCATTTTGGCCGCTTGGGGAGTGAACCACTGGACGAAAGATCTTCCTCTCTGTCTCTCCTCTTCGTACATCTGCCTTTCCAATAAAAATAAATAAATCTTAAAAAAAATGGGAGTGTTGCCATTCAATTAGAGGATTTTGGGTGTAGTTAACGATAAGTACAAGCGAGCGAAACTAAACACAACATAAAAGGCTATTACTAGTAAAAATCAGAAATTCAAAAAATGTTACAGAAGCATGTTACCATAATATGTGATTCATTTACAAATTAGGAAAAATATTATCAGATAATTATACTAGGAGGACAAGAGGAAGGAAATTGGGACAACTGTATGTCCATAGGATTCAGTAAGAAAGTTAAGCTCTCATGAGCCCCAGAAGAAAACAAGCGTGCCTACATTTGAAAGGGCAAAACCTGAACATGCTTAGTGCTTAGAACCATGAAAGCAAAGGAAACAGCACACAGCTGCAAGAGTCTTGATGCAGTGTGGAGAAAGGCAGATGCAGCGCTGCTATTTTTTTTAATCTAAGTCTTGTCATTGTATTGGCATCTACAACTACGTACATTAAGTATTTCAGTACCATGTTGAAGTCATTAAAACGCATTTCAGGAAACCCTCAGAAACCCTAAGAAATAATATAACTGATTGCAAAGCACATTTTGATTGCAATTGATTTTTCTTAAACATAGATAGAGCACCATCCTTTGCATGGGAATGGATCTGTGAGAAGTTGTAAAACCATACCAGAATCTTCTAGAAACCCATAAGGCTGAGATGTGAAATTGTCACCTCAAGGTACTTCAAAGCAGACAGGGCCCTGAGGTGAATGTGTAAGTTATTTCAGCAGTCTGCTCCATGACAGTTAACAGTGACATAAGGTGCCAGGGCTTAGAATTACGAGATGTGATCACTTTCCGCTATTATTTTAAATCCTGATTGGGAAGACTCAATGTGTTGTGTGTGCATGTTTAAAGTAGGCTGAATTAAAGAGGACAGGATACCTTGAAAATAGGCAAGCTTTAGCTCGAAGGGTCTATTCCTACAAGTTCAGGAGGCCAACAAGCACCAACATGGAAAAACATTAGAAACTCGTGTAATTAAAATGCTGAAAGTGGTGAGTAACCAAAAAATCCAGCTCAAGGTAGCTTACTCATTTGTATGAAATATCAAGAGTCGGGGTAATGCAGCACAGGCATTACCGATTATTCCATCCCTTTCTCTTCATTTCTGCTTTACAAGCCAGTGTCACCCTAAGATTGGCATCTCACTTGATCCTGGGGGAATGACTGCTACTCTGTGCAGGGCCTCATGCCTCCTGGTGCAGGTCTGTTAGAAAGGAAAGGGCATCTTCACCTGCTAATTTCCAGCAAAAACAAAAACAAAAACAGAACACTCACTATTTGGATGGGGCAGACTCAGGTCCACTGGCCAGGAGATGAATGCACTGGGACATTAAGGAGGCTCGACATCCCGAAAGCTGCACTGATGTGTAAGTAGGAATGAGCTGTTGGGAGCAGAGAAGAGACAGATGAGAAACAGCCACAAACGTCCCTAAAGTACTTTAAGACGGAAGGAAATTCAGAATATGCTGGTGTTACTTCCTCCCCACTGCAGATAGACCATCTTTAATGCAATCCAGTTACCTGCCACCTCAAACTTCTCATTTTTAGGATTCTAGTTGAACTTTGAAAACCCAAAAAGGCAGATCTGGAAGGGCAAATAGACTTTTTTCTGGATAAGCTGTAGGCAGAGAATAATTTGTCTTCCCTACTGCTTTCCCTACTGAAATAACATGAGGTGAGTGATTGGCCTAGTGGTTAAGAATCTGCCTCGCATGTCAGAGTGCCTGCAGTCCGCTCCACTGCAGCTCCTGATTCCAGCTCACTGCTAAGCAGAGCCTGCGGGACAGGGCTGACAACACAAATGGCCCAGTCTCTGCCACCCACAAAGGAATGCGTTCCTAGCTCCTGGCTTTGGCCGATCATGGCAGGTATCTGAGCAGTGAACCTGCAGATGCGAGCTCTGTCTTGCTGCGAAAGAAACAAAAACAAAAAAACTAGGACATGTGAAACAAAGACTTTGGGTCTTTTGGCCAATAGAAAGGCCTTCCAGGGATCTCAGGACACTAAGCAAATCCAAAGAAAGTCCCCAAACCAGCACATGGCACATCAAGCTTCTTCAGCAGAGTCATGGTCCAGTGGGAAGAGTTGCCTGCAAGGTCAGAATATACAGAAGCAGTTTCTGCTAGGAAGTCTATGTTGTGTTAGTTTTAGAAAGGGATGGTGAGGCCTACTTTACCTAGTTATCATGTAGATTAGCCAGAAAATATTTTTGCAACTTTCTGGCAGTAGGTATGATGAGAACATGAGTAAGTGCGAAAGAATGGAAAAGCTGACTGAATTCGTAATTCAAGACCTCTGTCCTGCTTTTGATGTCACACATACATACACAGTAGCAAATCTGACAAATACAGACTGAACCATTCAAACATCTAAAATTTAAATGTGTGTAAGTAAGTAGAAAATTATACTGCCTTTATCAATTCGCAAGCAGGATAGCTTATGTGGACTCTCAAACCCTCTATGAGAGGCACTGTTGTAATAGTAGCTAGCTCGTTGGAACTGCAACCAATGGGAGACTTAATACTCCAATCAGCGAGTAAGGAGACTCCCATCCAGTGAAGGACAAATGCAGATGGATCCCCTCATTTTAACCTTTCCTGGTGTGCATCTGTAATTGAGAGACATGAGTGGTCATTTGTAAAATGTCTGAATTTGGTCAGTTTTATTTTGTTTACATTTCTTTGGTCAATATGTTTGTGGTAAACACTGCAGCTGAATATTGGATGAGCACTCTTGTTTATGCTGGATTGCTGCCACAGTAGAACTATACTACTTAAGTTGCTCTACGATTAACCAGATTATTTATATTAATCCTATGCCCTCTTAACCCATAGGCATTAAAGATTGCTAAACACTCTCAAATATGGTCGTAATGCGCAAGACTGTTCTGTGGGTGTGAACTGCATTTATTACTGGTCAACTCTTTACAAGACATTAGTGATATTTCAGACTAAATAAACCAACAGCTATTTAGATTTAGACTTATTTTTTTTAAGTAGGAAACAAATAACAAGTGAACATGTTCCATTTTGCCCATTGCATTTATTCTTAATGGGCAAATATTTAATGACTGTTTTTCAAACTATTCCCCTAGTTTAATGGATGTTCAAAAGTAATTTTAAAATATTTTTCTGCTGGAAGCATTTATAATAAGAAAGTTCACTGATTCTTTTGTTAATAGTAACATGGTAGAACTAATTTCAAACCAAATGCCAGTTGAACTTTCAGGTGCTGTAGTGAAATAGAAAATTGGATCCCAAACTATCAACTCTTTTTAGAGGTCTCATTAGAAAATATGATAAACTCTATGAAATGCCAAGCGACCAAAGTTTATTAGGGCAATAATAGTTGATTCTATCTACCATTTACTGGATATTAGGTCATGTCCTTGCAAACTGAATGTATTTACTTTCCAAAGAGTTATCATAAACGGCCTAGATTCCCCACCTTACCAGAAGAGAACACTGGAGCAAACAGAAATCAACTTGTCCAAATGCGCAATTAGTGACTGATGGAGCTAAGACTTGAACCCAAGACTTAAAAGTCCAGATGTACAATAGAGCCAAGACTGCCAGTAACTTGGGGGAGTAAGGGGTGGAGAGTAAGATATTTTGGATTTTATTTTAAGGCTTATTTATTTTATCTGGAAAGGCAGATTTACAGAGAGAATTAGAAACAGAGAAACATCTTCCACTCTCTGGTTCACTCTCCAACTGGCCACAATAGCAGGAGCTGAGCCAATCAAAAGCCAGGAATCAAGAGCTTCTTCCAGGTCTCCCACACAAGTACAGCGTTCCAAGGCTTTGGGCCTTCATCTGCTGTTTTTATATACCACAAGCAGGGAGCCTTGGGCCATCCTCTACTGCTTTTCCAGGCCCTAAGAAGAAACCTGGATAGCAAATGGAACTGGGACATGAAGCAGCATCCATATGAGATCCTGGCATTTCACGGTAAGAATTTAGCCACTGAGCCATGACATGGCACTGGGCCCTATTTTGGGTTTTCAACTTTTGTAACTTGAAGGGGGATTCTTTAAAACATGATGGCTTTTGGGCCTGGTGGCATGGCCTAGTGGCTAAAGTCTTCACCTTGAATGTGCCGGGATCCCATATGGGCACCAGTTCTAATCCCAGCAGCTCCACTTCCCATCCAGCTCCCTGCTTGTGGCCTGGGAAAGCAATTGAGGACGGCCCAAAGCCTTGGGACCCTGCACCTGTGTGGGATACCCAGAAGAGGTTCCTGGCTCCTGGCTTCAGATTGGCATAGCATCAGCCGTTGCGCTCACTTGGGGAGTGAATCATCGGATGGAAGATCTTCCTCTCTGTCTCGCCTCCTCTCTGTATATCTGACTTTGTAATAAAAATAAATAAATCTTAAAAAAAAATGATGGCTTTGAATTTTTAGGTACTTTTGAAGGGTGATATATTAGTATCTGGCATTCTTTTCTTTTTTTTTTTTCTACATAAGGGAGACGATCCAATGGTGTAAGAGGATACATGCATGACAGAAATGAAGTAAATCTTGATAATACAACCTAAATCACTATAGGCTCAGTTCTTGGAAAAAAAGAGAGAGAGAGAGAGAGACTTCTAAAAAGATGCTTCTGATGACAAAGGGTCATGGAGTGAAGTGTGAACATGTGGCTACGAGTAGCGGGCGTCGGGCTCACAGCTCGCCATTCCAGACCTTTACAGAAGCGGTGTTCCAGGTCAGAATGATGAGTGCAGCTTTCAATCCTCAGCTTGTCTTCTGCCCTGGAGCCTAGCAGGCCCTCAGTCAGGACTGCGTTTCTAGGTCAGCAAAGAAAACAGAACACTTTCAGAAGATAGTTTGTGTTTTTTGTTTGTTTGATTTGCCTTGTTTTTACCGAATTTCATCAGCTTCAGCTTCTTAGAAGATTTTTATTAGCCGAAATTTTTCAGAAAATTATCAGAAGTATTGCTATGTAATCATCAAAATTTATTTCTCGATTACTTCATGTGGACTCAATCCACTCTCTTCAGGTTCTAATTAGTTTTTTTTTTTAAGATTTATTTATTTTTTATTGGAAAGGCAGATTTACAGAGAGGAGGAGAGACAGAGAGGAAGATCTTCCGTCTGATGGTTCACTCCTCAAGTGAGTGCAACGGCTCGAGCTGAGCTAATCCGAAGCCAGGAGCCAGGAGCTCTTCTGGGTCTCCCACGCGGGTGCAGGGTCCCAAGGATTTGGGCTGTCCTCAACTGCTTTCCCAGGCCACAAGCAGGGAGCTGGATGGGAAATGGAGCTGCCGGGATCAGAATCGGCGCCTATACGGGATCCCAGTGTGTGCAAGGCGAGGACTTTAACCACTATGCTATCGCACCGCAGGGCCCTCTAATTAGTTTTTAATACTTAATGGTAAAGATTTAACATTTGTTCAACTTTAAATGCAAAAGATGTTTACCCTGTTTTTATTTCCACAATGCTCCTATTATTAAAAAATAAAAATAAAAAATATGTCCAACAGTAGGGAAAGATGCTGGCAAACAGCTACTTTTCTTAAAGGATGCAGGGGTAGGGATGCCCTTGATTGACACTTTGATTGTGGTAGTTCTCATGTGATCCATTTGATTCCCATTGATACGGCTATTTTCAAAGATGAAGCAACAAGATATTTCTTCCATTAGTTGCCTTGGATAGCAATGCCTCTGCCACAAACTAAGTGTTGCTGTGAAAACATATTTATAAAAATATGCACTATTTAGACAAAATGCAGTAAATGAAAGCAAATCACAGTAAATCTAGCTAAGCCAGTTGGAGCAATGAAGCAAGTTTTTGTAGCAGCAAAATGTTCAGCAAATATTCAACTGATCTAATTCCTTTACTGGCTTGGTAAAAAGCAATTCCCAGTGATTATTTGGGATATTTGAGCAGTACATATGCTGGCCATTCTTTAACCACTCTGACACATATGTACCAGGACACTTTTTAAGATTGCAGCCCTGGGAGGTACTGAAGCAAGCATTCACTTTTCTCACCCTTGAGGTCACAGAGTTTTGCAAGTCAAAAATGTAAGGCATGCCAAAAACATCATGCTGCACACACCACAAAAAAGAACACCGACAAGTAAAGGTTTGACAAGACAGGAAATAGGCAGGGTCGGAGAAGTTTACTTAATACTGAGACTTATTTAACAATCATGAAGCCGAACTACAATGACAGTTAAAAAAAAATAAATAAATAAACAAATACACAAAACAAAGCCCCAGGATGCATGGTCTGTTCTGGAATTATTAGAATTTTTGTTTGTTTCCCAAACACAGGAAACGGATTACTCCAAAGAATCTGCAACATTCTTACAGATCTTCCCCATCTCCCTTTGTCAGAGGTATCTCACCGAGATAAAGAGGCTTAAACAGTTTTTAATTTGTGGGTAGATGATAGAACAAAGAATTAACCTTACAAGTGCTGTAAATGACTTCCTTAAAGAGCACACATTTTTAAAGTCGATTTCTCCTAATAATAGGGAGGGAAGAGGGGAAAAAAAATTAAAAAGAAAATGGGAGATAGGAAAAACCTAGCTGTTCATTACAATTTTCCATTTTTGTTTCAGCGCAGCAGGAGGGCAAAGCTGCTGGCTTCCCTTCTCCCTGGCAAAGGCCAGGCGGGATTATGCGAACCTGCAACCACCCAAATCTTATGTAAAGTTGTAATCATTGTTCTCATCTAATGACTTTTGCCTGCTTTCACTCAAACGTTGCTGCATCTTGCTTTCTGCCAATTTTAACCAACTGGGAGTTGTCAATTTATAATTGCAGATAAACCAAGTTTGGAAAAAAAAAAGTGCCTTTACCAAAATGCAAGCTTCAAGTGACATCTAGTGGATGTCTGGATATTAGTTCTGAAGGCCTCTGGTTAGCAAGAATTTCAACAATCTATTGTCTTAATATGACTTAAAAAATTTGCATTTCTCACACTGAATTGCTATCTTTTCCTTAGAAAAACAGCTGATACAGACAAGAAAATTACCATTTTCTCAAAGAGAAAAAAAAATCTCTGCTCTAGGAAATGAGAAATGATTTTTTTTTAAGATTTATTTTATTTTTATTGAAAAGTCAGATATACAGAGAGGAGAGACAGAGAGCAAGATCCAAAGGCTTTGGGCCGTCCTGGACTGCTTTCCCAGAGCAAAAGCAGGGAGCCGGATGGGAAGTGCAGTAGCCGGGATTAGAACCGGCGCTCATATGGGATCCCGACACTTTAGCTGCTAGGCCACTATACCAGCTGGAGAAATGGTTTTTAAGATAAGGCTTTCTGGAGGTAACTGAGCTGAAAGTGGAGCTCTATGCACACAGACAAAAACCCAACTGTTTCAACACTGGATGTATTTGAGTCATTATCAACTATGGAGCTTAAGAAGAGATGATTTTCATCTCTGAAATTCCTCTGCTTATCTATGAATTTAAAGCATGTTATCAATTTGACAAATGTGTATTTCAATTGTTATCTCTATTTTTCCATGTTTAGTTCCCCCTTAAGAATGCTATGGGAGAATCACATAAGTATTAAGGTTCACATGCCACAAACATTGGTAACTTTTGTTGGCTTCACTACTTGTTAAGGAACAGTGACCGAAGCAGGGCTACATGGAATTGCTTGGGAACATTAACAGTAATTGGGATTGGAAGTGCTTCCCTGCCCCTGTTGCTTGAGTGATTGTGTGTTTGAAAGACGCCCTGGAGAGTAAATGCTTCCCATTGATGTCTATAGACGAGCCGGGAAGGGAAATTATTCACTGAGCAAACCAAAGATGGTGTTTAAATTTAGTATTTTTTTTTTCCTTTCAAGGAAAAGGAAAGTTGGAATATGCAACTGGCACCTAGATGCCAGCTGTCTGCCTGTCCCCAAGTCTTCCAGGCCCCTAGAGTCACTCTTCATTTTAATTACACACAATACGCACAGCTCTGCTTCGCACTTGACGCTACTGTCTTTATTTTCACCCACCTACTCCAAGGTGCCACTGACACTACAGAAGCTTACTGAGATTTGAGTAATTAGGGGGTGCTACAGCAAACATAATAAAAGGTAGCACAGGTTGTCATACAACCTTACAGCTTCTTTCAAAAACTCCTTAGAGACTAGGAGTGGAGCAAGTGGGTAGGATTGCAAGGATCAGCTTCAGGGTGATGATGATTGAGGCTGCGTGGTAAGTGCAGGAGGCTCACTCTGCTGTTGTATATGCTTACGAGTTCCCTAACCAAAAAATGAACACAAAGTTTCTTAGCAAGGACATTTCTCACTGGTTTCCTTTCCTATTCCATTTTGGAATTAGCCCTTCCTACAACTTCTGAGTCCCTTATATTTCTCTGCCCGTCCTCCCTCACAGGCTGCCCTGGAACCTGATTCAAACACAGCGTAATCCATGAGATGGGCTCATTGATCCCTTAAAATACAGAAACCAGTTTTCACCCTAGGAAGAGTTCTGCCTCAGGTTTACAAGAAACCTTGTTTAAGTAAAATGAATACAAGTAGTATAGCACTCAGCAATGAAGGCTAGCTCTCTTCTTCCTACTAATCGTATTCTCCTTTGCAAAAGATTGCTTTGTTTATGTATTTTTAATGACAGAAAAGGAGACACAAAGAAAGACCTTTCATCCTCTGGTTCATTTTCCAAATACATGCAACAGCCAGAGCTGGGCCAGGCTGAATCAGGAGCTCAGAGAACTCCCTCCAGGATCTCATTGGGGTGGGAAGGGCCCAAATGCCTCATGAATCATCTACTGCCTCCTTTGGACATTATCAGGGTCCCAAGTGCGGCATAACCCTGTGACCTAACGCCCACTTCCCTCTTTCTATCTGGATCCAAACTCTGACAACTGACTCTTCAGAGAAATGGGCACATATGATTCCATGAGGACAAAGCATTTTGAAAGCATCTTCTATGCCTACCAGCTTGTGCTGGGGAGAGAAAGCACAAGTAAAATACAGCAAGCAGGTGATTACTTTGTCTTCTAAAATGAAAGATTTTCAATGAGATATTTTAATTGTACATAAAGCATCTTTACATATAAATGTTTTTCTCTCTGCTATTCAACCATTGTACAGTAGCCAATGGACTTAGCTCTCATTGCAGGTCCCACGCCCGCTCATCAAAGGTGACCCAAAAGCCTGGTGAATGTCAACTCCCAGGTGATGAACTGCAGGAAGAGGCGAGAGCCAGGTGCAGGGCCCTGAAGCCCAGGGTATTTAACCAGCCACCCTCCTATCTTCCTTAACATTTGTGGGTGGCTGCTCCTTTAAGTTAACCAGGTCTACTGTAGCCTAGAAAAGATGGGTTTTGCTTCGCAGCAGTTACAAAGTCAAACTTCCCACTAGGAGCAGTCTTAGATGGATTTTGGAAGACAAAAACCTGAAATTTTTGAAGTGGAAAGCATGTGTGGAAACATAGTAAAGGGAACTCATTCTAGGTAATTAATATCAAAGTGGACCCTTTTCCCATTCCCAGGAGGAGGAAAGAAACTGAGTTGGAGGTGAGAAACGAATAGCTGCACCCCTGTGGCCTCCTGTCAAATGACGTGTTGCCATGGGCAAGTGCCATCGCTCCCACACATGTGGGACCATGTCAGGACTTCCTTATGACTCTTGATTGAAAAAACGCTTCCTCCTTCCTGCCAACACCATTTTCCTTCCCACTCACCCTCAGAGTCTGACACAGTTTCCATTCCAAGGAGACAGGGTAATAATTCCAAGGAGACTGGGTAACATATTCCAGGGAAGGAGCTGGCGGGCAGCGTGAGACGGGGCACGGCGATCAGTTTAGGCTGAAATGAATTAGGAAACATTCTTAACTTACCCTTTGAAGTTTTGATTGCCATATCATCAAACAACTTCTCTTCTTTGGCTGTGTGCTGATCTTCCTGACTGTGAAAAAGTGTTTCATCTCTTCTATGACAGCTAAACACTGTCTCAGTCAACAGGAACCTTCTCTTCTCCTGAGCCGTATTATTTATTCACCGTTACAGAACCATCCGACCCTTCGCATTAAGCAGGAGCCAGGCCTTCCTGCGCAATATTTTCCCTATCAGCTGCATTTCAGATGTTTCCATTTCAAACATGCACCTGCAGGGGACTATATCATTATTTGCCTTGGTTCTCCTCAAACTACATTCTGGGAGAACTGCCTCTCATTTGTCCTGATCCCTGACACTATTTGTCAAGATATCACTTCTGAAATTGCCTGCTTCTCTGGGATGCCAGAAGGGGAAAAAAAAAAAATACTTGTCAACTGAAAGTTAAGTCACTATAAATCCCATGGGGATTTCAAAATGGGGCACACTTGGGACTTTTTTCCCTCTAAGTATAATACCCTTTCTTTTAAAAATTGGCTTGTAGCACATAAATACAGAAAAGGAGAGCAAGGCAGAAAGACTCTTCCATCTGCTGGGTCACTTCTCAAAGGTCAGGCCAGGCTGAAGTCAGGAGCCAGGAACTTCATTTGGGCTTCCCACATGGGTGGCAGGGGCGCAAGCACTGGGACCATTATCAGCTGCTTTCCCAGGCACGGTAACAACGCTGCACTGGAAGCGGATGCAGAACTCCAGCTCAGCTTCAATACCAGACGCAGGGGTCCCAAGGCAAGGCGTCCCAGGCTGCACTCCAACACTTTCTAACATGCAAAGTGAGTGGACTTGTGGGAGAGCACGGGGTCATTAAGTTCCTCTAATAGCCCCTAGCACAGTAGAACTAGTCACAACATTTACTTTCCTATGTACTGTGCAGTGTGTACATATTTAGTTCAGTGTTCACAGCTTAGTGGAAAGTATGGTTAGTATCTCTCATGGGTGGGGAGGGGGTATTACTGGTCTCAGAACCAGGAATCCTGAAGCATACTCCTAAAACTATGGTTGGTTGGACTGCCTTCATGTTAGTCGGCACGTCTTAGCTTCCCTTTATCTCAAGGACAATAACACAGGGGCTTTAGGCATCCTGGAAAGATCCATTTGTAACTTCAGATTTGCAGTTGTTCAGTGTCATTTCCATCCTTTTTTTGGTTTGTTTGTTTGTTTGTTTTTCCTTTGCCATTCTCTTGCTCATTACCTAGCTGTTTTGGCAACAGGGCCCTAATCCCACTGTCCTGCCTGAGATGCATTTAGAGATTCCTGAAGCTCAGTTCTGGTGATGTTATTCTTTGCCAAAAACTTTTGCATGAACTGTGTAATAGTCCTGAACTGGAATACATTTACTTTTAAGAGCTGTTCAAAACAAAACCGAACAAAATACAAGCAAACCTCTCACGTGACTGGCCTCCACTGCAGGTTTCAGTCCAGAAAGCTTCCCCCATGTCCTTCTGGCTCAGTCCATTTAACCTTTGTTTTTGCCATTTTCTGAATGTGCCTTGCTCTTACTTTCATAGCATATCACACACTGCAAATATTTCTATATTTATTTCTCTTACCAGCTTGTGGCTTTCCTGAGAATAATTAGCATTTATTGTTAAAACATTCTTGTGTGCCGTCTAAGACACTATTACGTCCTCCATGTCTAAATCTTCTAGAAATACAAGGCGGATATGTTTATCTCTGTTTTTCAGAAAGGGACTCAAAAGAGGCTAAATGATACCTCAGGAGGTATGTGCCAGCTCAGGTCTTGGTGGCTTCACTTACATCAGCTCAAGAAAACGAAGTCGAGCGGATGATGAGTCTGACCTGTAAGATGTTAGGCACGCACCAGTGTGAATGAATCCATGCTGGTGACCCTTCCCTTTAACAGAGTGCTTCACATCTGATAGTGGCCACGAGGTGGCAGTAGCTTGCCATGGCTACACAGTCTGTTTCTGGACGCACTGAACAGAGCAGAGACGGAAGCAATCCTAGAGATAAGCTGACACCCTCTCCTTATTTTATGGTTTAAAAACAAAACTGAGATCTGGAAATGTATTTATTCAATATCTTTTACTGGATTAAAGAAAAGAATTTAGACGTACGCATGCCAACTTAATGCTTTTTCTTTATCTCTACCTGCACATTTTTTCCTCAAAATTCCTCATTTCCCTACATATCTTAATAGTAAATTAAAAAGTTCATTATACGGGCCCGGCGCGGTGGCGCAAGTGGTTAAGTCCTCGCCTTGCAGGCCCAGGATCCCATATGGGCGCCGGTTCTAATCCTGGCAGCCCCGCTTCCCTTTCAGCTCCCTGCCTGTGGCCTGGGAAAGCAGTCGAGGACGGCCCAAAGCTTTGGGAACCTGCACCCGCGTGGGAGACCCGGAAGAGGCTCCTGGCTTCGGATCGGCATAGCATTGGCGTTGCGCTCACTTGGGGAGTGAATCATTGGATGGAAGATCTTCCTCTCTGTCTCTCCTCTCTGTATATCCGCCTTTCCAATAAAAAATAATAAAAATAAATCTTTAAAAAAAAAGTTCATTACAGTCTAAATAGTATCAACATTTAACAATATTTTATGATAAAATTTCTATCTATTCACCAACTAATATAGTTTCTATGTATAAAACAGTTAACATTTAAAAATGCAACAAGGAAAGAATTATCTGTAGTTTCAACAGCTAAGGATCTTCATTTATTTTAGTGAATAGTCTCCCATTTTTTCACTCATCTATAAAATCCATTTTAAAAATTAAGATCAAACCAAATATAATTTAATAATTTACAAATCTCAAATCTTCTCCATATCATACCTTCATAGTTATTACTCTGCCTTAATGAAGCCTTGTGAATCTTTAAAAATCCTCTTCATGCAGAAATGTTTCATTGGCTTATAAGGAAATGTATTTTCCAATATAATTTTTTTTCCTGGAGGGCATTTTCCCTGCTGAAAATTTCTGTTTCTCCTTTCCCTCCCACATTTTTCATTCTCTTCACAGCCAGGAAAGAACAACATGGAAACACGGTTTCTGTAACCCGTATCTCCAAGTGGAGGCGTTTCTACACACCAGGAACTTCACTTTCACTGTTGAGAAGTTACTCCAGCCACCTCACCATGAGGACAGCCATGGGTTTTACATGCAGACAGAGTTATCTGTACCTCTAGGGAGGCTCTCTGAATCTTCAAGTGCAATTATTAAGATTGCACTTGACTTTCGGCTTGCACCATTTTCATCCTCTGTAACTTGTAGTTCTGCTGACAGTAGAGACAGGCGGCTGGCAGGGAAAGCCGACATGACAATTAGTATGGACCATTGGTGCTCTTTCACCAGGGGAACTTCTGGAATTGAAGATGCACGGGAAAGGAGGGCAATTAGGAAACAGGTGATAGGGGGTAGTCAATTGATCCTCAGAACAAAAAGGATGAAGGTAGCCCTGCTGAGAAAGTGCTCCATCATAAGGATTACTGTGTACTCATGTAATTATGTCAACCATGTTCAAGGCCCATTTACCCCAAATGCTGATGAATTTACTTGACAGTATTCCAGAAGATTAAATATGTTAGCCTTCCAGCCTTACACTCTCTTATGTTGATAAGATACAGGAAGATGGGGAGTGAAGTTATGTAATCTCTTTCCAGGTGGGATAGAGATGGCCTTGTGGCTGTTATAAATCTTGGGCCCTGGCCCCTCTACCCACCAAGGCGGCTTGTTGAGGACTACTAGGAGGCTTTCTCTAGAGTCTACAGAGGATTCTCATTGATTCTCTTCTGACGCATACAATATCTAGGATAGAAGTGGATACCTGGCCTCATTGGTGAGTGAAACAGAATCACCAAGGAGGACGAAAACTGCCTGGTTTCTGCTCGAATTCAGCTGATCCAATGGTGTTGACCATTGAATTTGTAGTTAATCAGAAAATTATAAAGTACAATCCTGCATGTGAAAATGACACTTCTTAGCAATGAGCAAAGAATTTTAGTTTCCCTTCTAATGTGGGGGAAGAACTTGACTTCAGAAAGAGGACACATCCCTTGGGTTTCCTCTGCCACAAAACAAATAACGCAAAGCTGAATGAGCTCAGGAACCAAGTCTCATTCGTATAAAATTTTCATGTCCTAGAAAATCAGTCCAGACCACAGAGAAGCCTCAACACAAAGTTAAACACAATGAATATCAAATGAAACAGCAATGCAGAAAATATTAAAAATCAGTTACCTGCCTTGTCATATGGAGAGGTTCACTCCCATTATGTAAAAACCCAGTTAGTACCTTTTTATAAGTTATTTCATTTTTCACTCTATTTAAAATTGTGAATGTCCACACTAAACAAGAAAAATTTCAATTCTGGAACCAAATTTTCCTCCTTAAGAAACTAGAGGGCCTAGCATAATGGATCAATTGCCTAATCCTTATGTTGCAAGTGCCAGGATGCCATATGGGTGCCAGTTCATGTCCCGGTTGCTCCACTTTCCATCCAGTTCCCTACTTAAGGCCTGGAAAAGCAGTAGAGGATGGGCTAACGTCTTGGGACCCGCACCTACGTGGGAGATGTGGAGAAGACTCCTTACTTCAAATCAGCTAAATTCTGGCCATTACAAACATTTGGAGAGTGAACCAGCGGATGGAAGATCTCCAGCTCTTCTTCTCTCTGTAAATCCGCCTTTCCAAAAAACAAAACAAAACAAAACAAAACAAAACAAAAAACTTTAAAAGAGAAGAGACTAGAAAAAGCTATATCCAACATAAGCAGAAGAAAGGAAATAATGAATGTTAGAACAAAGATGCACAGAATAGAGAACAAAAGAAAAAAATAGGAACTAACTTTTGATTCTTGAAAATGTTACAGTTAACAGTTATTCAGTTAGACTGACCAGAAGTAAGAGAAGATACAAACTACTAAAGTCTGAAAACAACGGGATATGTTACTACAGACCTTACAGCAATATAAATGAACACAAGCATCCCTTGGGATCCTTGGGGAACTGTCTGTACCG